GAGAGTGTCTATATGAGAATGTCTTAGTCTAGGATGCAACTCTTTTGCTAGGATAACCCCTACTCATCCTTCAGGGTTTAACTAAATGTCACATTCTCAGAAAAACCTTATCTGACCTCTCAATCTCCCCTTGACAGGTATACTTCTACTATTCCTTCATTTAAATTTATAAAATTATAACTATATGGGTACTTACAATTTGCTTCTAATAAGCTACGTGTCATAAGAACCATATATATTTTATTCATTTCTGAGCACAAAAATGCACATGCTCAAGTATTTGCTGAATGAATGAAATCAGTATAATAAAATGTATATGCTTAATGATTAACAGAAAACTACAAAGCAATTATTTTTTTACTGATATAGCACAGTTGTAAATATTTGGAGAGTACCTGTGATATTTTGATACATGTATACAATGTATAATGTACAATGTATAAAAAGGGTAACTGGGATATCCATCACCTCGAACATTTATCTTTGTTGTTAGGTTCAATTCTTTTCTAGCTATTCTGAAATACACATACATTACTGTTAACTCTAACTTCCCTACTGTACTACTGAATGCTAAAACTTACTCCTTCTACCTGTATTTTTGTACCATTAACCAAGTTCTTTTATTATAGCCCCCGCTTTGGTAACCACCATTACACTCTATTTTCATGACATCTACCTTTCTTAGCTAGCACATAAGAGTGAGAATATACACTATCTGTCCTTTTTGTCCTGACTGATTTCACTTAACATAATGACTTCCAGCTTCATCCATTCTTTTATTATTTTGAATAATATCCTGTTGTGTATATGTATGACATTTTCTTTATCTGTTCATCCATTGAGGGGCACACTTAGATTGATTCTGTATCTTGAGTATCGTGAACAGTGCTGCACTAAACATGGGACAGCAGATACCTCTCCAATATACTGATTTTCCTTCTTTTTGATATACATCCAATAGTGGAATGACTAGATTATACAGTTCTATTGTTAGTTTTTTGGGAAACCTCCTACTGTTTTCAACAGTAATCGCACCTGCAAAGTAAATTGTAAAGTCAGAATAAACTGATTAATCTTAACTAAACCAGATTAATCCCTTGCCCTTTAATTTTTTATTAAATATTTGCATCTTCACTATATTTGTTGCAAATAGACATATTTGTGCAACCTTGCCTATTTTTTTTTAATTTTCTCTATACATATACATGTGTTTATTTGGTTTGTACTTTTTGCCTTCACAAAATTAAAGAGGCTTAAAATTTAATAACAATAACAATGCTTAAGATAAGAACTAGAAACAAAAACCTCGTAAAGAATGAACGAAGATAAATACATTCGGAAAAGAAATCAGATGATTGCTGCAATGAAATATTGAGCAGTAATAATAATGCAAAAAAAGTAACATTCACATTGTCAGATAAAAGTATATCTATCATAGAATGCTTTGACATCAGTTAATTTTTTTTCCAAAGTATCATTAAATAGACAACTAATGTTTATGAATTAAAAATAAAAGATAATTTCAAAAAACAGACCATGCCAAATCTTATAGACAGTAGAAGAAAAAATACTTCAAAATCATTCTACTTCATCTGGATATGTCTGATATTAAAATCGGAAAAAATACATTATTATAAAAGGAAATTACAAACATTTCACTTATAAATGAGGATGCAATATCCTAAACAACATATTAATAAGTTGAATCAAAAATTACTGTTCAAATAAAGTACTTTGGTCAAAATTAAATCCAATTTATGTGAAAATTAGTCACTATTTTCTTTTCCTTTCCCTCACCCCCTCCCCTCCTTCTCTTTCTGCTCTCCCCTTCCCCCACCAAGTCATTAATTGTCATTAATCATCCTCATATCAAAGTTGAATACATCGGATTCATGCTTCTCCATTCCTGTGATGCATCACTAAGAATAATGTGTTCCACCTCCATACAGGTTAATACAAATGCTGCACAATCTCCCTTACTTTTAATGGCTGAATAGTATTCCATGGTATACTATACTTATACTGCAGCTTGCCAATCCATTCCTGGGTGGAGGGACATAAAATGAGGTTGTTTCTACATTTTAGCGATTGTAAATTGAGCTGTGATAAACAGTCTAGTACAAGTGTCTTTGTAATAAAAGGCTTTTTTCCCTTCTGGATAGATGCCCAGTAATGGAATTACAGGATCAAACCTGGAGGTCTAGGTTGAGTTCTCTGAGGTTTCTCCACATTTCCTTCCAAAAAGGTTGTATTAGTTTGCAGTCCCACCAGCAGTGTAAAAGTGTTCCCTTCTCTCCACATCCATATCAGCATCTGCAGTTTTGATAGGCCATTCTCACTGGGGTTAGATGATAACTCAGGCTGGTTTTAATTTGCATTTCTCTAATAATTAGGGACGATGAGCCTTTTTTCATATGTTTGCTAGCCATTCATCTGTCCTCTTTAGAGAAGGTTCTGTTCATCTCTCTTCCCCATTGATGTAAGGGATTGTTGGCTTTTTTCATGTGGATTAAGTTCTCTATAGATCCTAGTTATTAAGCTTTTGTCTGAATCAAAGTATGCAAATATCCTTTCCCACTGGGTAGGTTGTCTATTTACTTTGGTTATTGTCTCTTTAGCTGTACAAAAGCGTTTCAGTTTAATTAAATCCCGTTTATTTTAGTTGTTGTTACAATTGCCATGGCCGTCTTCTTCATAAAGTCTTGCCCCAGGCTGATATCTTTAGTGTTTTTCCTATGCTTTCTTTTTTTTTGGAGACAGAGCCTCAAGCTGTCCCCCTGGGTAGAGTGCCGTGGCATCACAGCTCACAGCAACCTCCAACTCCTGGGCTCAAGCAAGTCTTCTGCCTCTGCCTCCCAAGTAGCTGGGACCACAGGCTCCCGCCACAACACCTGGCTATTTTTTTTGGTTGCAGCCATGATTGTTGTTTGGTGGGCCCGGGCTGGATTCAAACCCACCACCTTAGGTGTATGTGGCTGGTGCCTTAGCCACTTGAGCCACAGGCGCCGAGCCTCCTATGCTTTCTTTGAGGATTTTTATCATTTCAATGCCTTAAATTTAAGTCCTTTGTCCATCTTGAATCAGTTTTTGTGAGTGGAGAAAGATGTGGGTCCAGATTCAATCTTTTATATGTGGATATCCAGTTCTCCCAGCACCATTTATTGAATAAGGAGTCTTCCCCCCAGTGGATGTTCTTATTTGGTTTATCAAAGATTAGGTGGTTATAAATTGTTGGTTTCATTCCCTGGTTTTCTGTTCAATTCCAAATGTCTATGTCTCTATTTTTGTGCCAGTACCATGCTGTCTTGACCACTATGGCCTTGTAGTACAGCCTAGAATCTGGTATGGTGATACCCCTGGCTTTGTTTTTATTACTAAGAACTGCCTTGGCTACTATACAGGGTTTTTTTTCTGGTTCCATACAAAATGCAGAATCATTTTTTCCCAAAAAATGATTACACTGAAAGCTTTTCCATTTAGAACTGGAACAGACAAGGTTGTCCTCTGTCACCATTACTATTCAACATAGTGCTGGAAGTTCTAGACAATACAATTAGGCAAGACAAGAAAATGAAGGGCATCCAAATGGAAGCAGAGGCGGTCAAACTCTCCCTCTTTGCTGATGATACAATCTTATACTTAGAGAACCCCAAAGACTAAACCACAAGACTTTTGGAAGTCATCAAAAAATACAGTAATGTATCAGGCTATGAAATCAATGTCCACAAGTCAGTTAGTTGCCTTTGTATATGCCAACAATACCCAAATTAGAGGCTAATTAAGGACACAACTCCCTTCACCATAGCCCCAAAGAAAATGAAATACCTAAGAATATACCTAATAAAAGAGGTGAAGGACCTCTTCTGGTTCCATACAAAATGAAAGAATTATAAAGAAAATTATGAAACCCGAAGAAAGGAAATAGCAGAGAACATTAACAAATGGAAGAACATACCATGCTCATGGCTGGGAACAATCAACATTGTTAAAATGTCTATACTTCCCTGAGCAATGTACCAATTCAACACCATCCCTATTAAAATACCAACCATCCTATTTTCAAGACTTGGAAAAAATGACTCTGCCTATTCTTTTTTATCCTATAAAGTATTAGCAAGGGAAACCTCCTAAAATACTTTTTACTCTGCCACTCCTTTATTTAAAGACCTATAAAACAGTCAGCCTGAGTTTTCACTAATCCTTCCGCCACCAGACAGCCTGATACATGTTCAATCTGACAACAGCTTCATTCTAAACATCTCTCACTTCCAATTCCTTGTACCTGGAATGGGCTTCGTATTGTTCTCCTTCTGTCTAAATTCTAAATCTCAGTCAAGAACGAGGCTAAGTCTCTCCTAAACTTTTCTTTGGTGACTTTTGCCTGAAATAATCTTTTTCTGAAATGTTACAGTAAATATCTGAATTATTTTGACAAAATTAGATATTGGTTTTTAAAAAAATGTTTAACTATTTATTGTGTATACATGTGTTTCTAATGGGAAGAACTTCCAAAGAAAATTGTGCATTACATATACTTCTGCTCCTAGTGGGTCATGACAGACATATAGACTACACTCTTTAGAAACAAGAAACCCCAATGACAGATAAAGGCCACTGTTCAGAGATGAATTTTGGTACAATTTGACAAGGGGAATTTTTACATGTATTTACAAAAATGAATTTAGAACACCTCAAAAAGCATACTTTACCTGCAGATTTTCTTTCATTTCTTAAGTAAAGATGGGATGGGAATAAACATAAAACACAAGACAGTATGAAATCTAAGACACACACCTACAAATAAAAACACCACTGTTTATATTTTTCTTCAGCCACTACATTTTAACTTTGAATAGTTTTCAAAAATTGAGTTTGTTCCCTCTGACCTTGACTTACCTAAAATAACTAAAATGAAATGCCTTGTATTCAAATGTTGTAAATGCTTGGTTCTTAGAACATAAATATTTCTGAATTCCCAATTCAGTATATTTAGTTCTTACCTGCAGTTTCAGATGTATTTGAAATAACTCATCATATATCTGACTGACTTGATATGGAAGTAAACTCTGCTTGTTTGATGCTTTAGATTTGGGGGAGCTGACAGGTTTTAAAGGAGAGTCACTTGCATCACTACAACATTCAGACAAAATTCTTGATGAGGACTTATTAATTGGCACAGCAACTGGAAAGATAATAAAATCTGAATTATAAACTCTATTAGCTTATAGCTTTAAACATTTTCATAGTTGTCTTCAGGAAGAGTTGTGATAAGTATGAAGTATAGTATTGTTAAAAAGTTTCAAGAAAGAATTATGCAAACACAGTAAACCGGTAACATTTAGATAATGAGAACAAAAGGTATAGGGAATTCTTTGCACTCTTTCTGCAACTTTTCTGTAAGTCTGAATTTTTTCAAAATAAATTATTCTAAATGCATAAAACCACTCACATATTAACTTCCTAAGTCAAGAAATGAGAAGTTACTTCAGAAACTCCTAATCACATTTCCCTCTCCCCTAAACCAAATTAACCACTAACTTGAAGTGTTGATCACTGCTTTACTTGTCTTTTTAATTTCTATTGCTTACATTTAAGAAATTCTTACTTTGTCTTGTTTTTAAAGTTTACATAAATGTCTACAATTATATAAATCTTATAACCACCTCCTTTAAATGAGTTCACAAACCTTCACTGCTTTACCCTATTTTATAAATACAAAATTATGACAACATTCTCCTACAGATGGATTATTTGTGCTGCTTCGGATATATAGATGTTACAAAGCTTTATACATGTCTTATACTATGTACATGGCTCCTAGTATACGTGTCCAAGAATTTAATTGCTGGATCGTAAGGTTTACATGCAGATCTAACTTTACTAACAATGCAAGTGTTTTCCAAAGCGGTTATGTTAATTTACTCCTCCAACAGCAGTGGATGAATGAGTTCCTCCTCCTTAACCTTGCCAATATTGTATTGTCAAAATTTATTTTTTGCTAACAATGAAAACATGAAATTTTCTCCAAAGTGGTTTTAACTTGCATTAGCCTCCTGGAAGCCCCAGCTGTAGAGAGATGTCTCCCACTATGTTCCCCATTCTGAATAGACCTAGGAGGGGTCAAAATAAAAAAATAGTATGAATTTTTAAAAAAGAAGTTTCCGGCTCGGCGCCTATAGCTCAACCGGCTAAGGCGCCAGCCACGTACACCTAAGGTGGCAGGTTCGAATCCCCAGCCCGGACCCGCCAAACAACAATGACGGCTGCAACCAAAAAATAGCCGGGCGTTGTGGCGGGCGCCTGTGGTCCCAGCTACTTGGGAGGCGGAGGCAGGAGACTCACTTGAGCCCAGGAGTTGGAGGTTGCTGTGAGCTGTAATGCCACGGCACTCTACCCAGGGGGACAGCTTGAGGCTCTGTCTCAAAAAAAAAAAAAAAAAAAAAAAAAAATTTCCCTTCACTCGGTTCAGCAAATGCTCAAAACATAAGACACATTCAGTGTTCTACTTACCTTCCTCTAGGTTCCTACCTCACCAATCCATGGCCTGAGCATTCCTTACTTTTGGTCAACTTTCAAATACATTCTAATCCTATGCTATTATTTTCAGTGGAAAAATCAACTATGTGGCAGGAAATACAAACCCAGGCAGAATTATATTTCATCTTCTTCAAATGCTGAGATCAATAAGGCAAATGATATGATGCAGAGAGGGAAAAGGGAAATGAACGTGTGTTGTGTGCAGAGGATATAGTCCCAGGAGAAGAGTATGCTGGTTCTATCAATGGAGCAAAGGTGTCTCTAAGTCTCGTGGCAAAGAGGGCGAAGGGTATCATTTCTGGATAAAATCCTTATAAAACACAGCCAGGTACACAGAGAGTTAATACCACTTTGTCTTAAGGAAGTCTTATGTTAAGTAATCTGGTGCATTTTCTCATAGTATTAGGGTTACTGAAATACTATCACTATCATTTACTCACTTTTTAACAAATACTGACATTAAAAAAACCTGATAATATAAAAAGTACTCAACTCAGGTGATATTATTTGATAAATTTTAAGAATATAGGTATACTATTGAAAAATAATGAAATTTACTTTTCTCTTTAGTTTAATAATAAGCACAGTACCTATTTCATGTCTTACAAAAATTTATAGAACAAAAATATATAGGCTCCTGGCCCAGCATGGCAGCTCACAGCTGTAATCTTAGCTTTTGGGAGGTTGAGGAAGGAAGACCCCTTGAGCTCAGGAGTTCAAGATCAGTCTGAACAAGAGCCAAACGCCATCTCTACTAAAAATAGAAAAATTAGCCAGGCATTGTGGCAGGCACCTATAGTCCCAACTACTAAGGAGACCGAGGCAGGAGGCACCACTACATCTAGGAAAGTCTGTTTCAAAAAAACATCACACAGGCTAGGCACGGTGGCTCATGCCTGTAATCCTAGCACTCTGGGAGGCTAAGGCAGGTGGACTGCCTGAACTGGTTCGAGACCAGTCTGAGCAAGAGTGAGACCCTGCCTCCTAAAAAAAAAAAAAAAAAAAAAAAAGGCTAGGCATTGTGGTGGTTGCCTATAGTCTCAGCTACTCAGGAGGCTGAAGCAAGAGAATCACTTGATCCTAAGAATATGAGGTTGCTGTAAACTATGACACCACAGCACTCTTCGAAGGTGACAGAGCAAGACTTGGTCTCAAAAACAAAACAAAACAAAACAAAACAAAAACACCCCCATCACACACACATACATCCTCCTGAGAACTAGTGTTATTGCTACGAGGTACCCTTTATATGCTCTATTTGACAAAGTTACTATTTAAATGACTATTCTGAAATGAATATTTCTTTTACCTTTTTCCATCTCTTTAAAAGATTGCTTGGTTACTTTGGCGGTACTAACTCTATGATTACTCTCCATTGATTCTTCTTCTGTTTCCTGTTTCTTCAGATCATGAAAAGAATCCAGTTCTTCATCTGGGCTTTAAAGAAAAAATTATATCACAGCATTGTGGAAGTTTACCATAGCATTTTATAAAGATAAAACTGCTTTTGATATATTAATAGCATAACAATTGAGACAAAACATAGAAAGTAAATATTTTTTAAAAGCAAAAAGTAAACATTTAAAAAATAATAATCATTGATCCTGATAATCCACTACAACCATCTTTCCATTTTTCCTACGTTAAATAGGCTTACTTTAAATAAAACTTTATATACCTGTAGAATGCTATATAGTTGCCACTTTATTTTGATCCCCCCAAATTGAGTGAGGTAGGTACAGCAAGCATTATTATCTATACTGTAATTTTAGCTAAAAGAATGATTGTGTAATATTAGGAAATTGAACCCTAAAGAAGTCAAATAACTGACATTTGATATAATTAGTAAAAAGCGTAGCAGAACTAGAACCTCAGGTATCTTATCCAAAAAGAATTCCTAGAGCAATGTTGTTCCAAAGGACTGGTTATTTAAAATGTTCTACTAGCACATTAAAAAATCAAGATGTGTGAGTTTTTTTTTTTTTTTTAAGTGAACTTTATCAATTTGCCAGCAAACAGGGAGGCTGGCAGACTCCTTTATCAAAAAATACCAGTGTCCCTGACTCTGAACAGAAACAGAGAGCTTTTAAAGGTTATGGTTGATCCCGTAATTCTGTTCTGCACTAAGACAATCTTGTGGTCTCCAACCAGATTCATCCCACCTTCACTGAAATGATCTTTGGACCTCTGTCCAGAGGATTCCCTTGAGCTACCTCTTGAGTCAGAAAAATCAAGACAGTCCACTGCCTCTCCTAACCAATGGCCTGAGGCAGGAATATAGGTTTTAGTTTTCAAAAAAACAAAGGCTAAGGGAGTTTTAAAGAGAAAAAAACATGTTACTTTTTCTCCCCCAGCCATTCTGTTACATATACCCCACTGTCAATTTTACCCTTCCATAGCTATGAGAGGGGCAACCTAGTGCTTACCTCCGGGTGCTAGGAGGGGTCTCTAATAAACTATTTTTTAGGGGCTTCACTTAAGCCTGCTTCTAAAGGGCTACCCTTATCCAGAGGGCAAGTGGCAATATCGTATTCTACCTTAGGTAGGTTCCATGTATTTTTCATTCTAGACATAGGGCCTTGCTTACTTGCTGGGTTATCTCTGCTACAGAGGGTCCATTATCACTCAGGTTCCTACTGGGGATTAACTCAAAGAAGCTCATAGGTGACCACAGGACACTGTGTAGCACATCAGAGTACAGACACAAGGAACCAAGGTTTCCCACATGGACACTGTTATGCAGTAACCAAATAATGGAGTTTCCTTGAGGAGGAGCTGCTGAGCTGCCTCTGCAGCTGCCTGCCCATGGCATCCATCACCAACACACCACTCTCCCTCTGCATGGCTTCTTTTCTTGGACTGCTGATGTCATCCCTTTGTCTTCCAAGGCTTGTTCCTGCTCCGTGTTGGCATACATGCACAGGAATCTGGCAGGCCAAATCAAAGCTTCAGGTAGAAGGAGTCCAAGAGGATTCTGTCTCCACTCAGCAGTGCCATCGCAAATATCAGAGCTACAGTTTTTAGTTGAAAAGGGGATCTTGGCACCAATCGAATCCCCACTGTCAATTTATATCTGGGACTGCGATGAGTAAGGCATGGAGTCTTGGTCCTCCCATTTATAAAATCCTGCTAATCAGTCCTCACTGTCAATTTGCACCTACAGCTTCTATGGAGGAGATTATTTGGGTTGTAGCTACCAGTGCAGCAGGGGGCCCGTAGGCCACCTCCTATATTATCTGAGTACTGGACCGGAAGGAATCATTTGCTTTCCTAAGGGATTTTTGTTCCTGGAGCCCTTTGCAATTTGGGGCAGGATTCTTTACAGTGTCTCCCCCCCCCCCAAAACACATATTGACTGTACCCTACTCTAGGGTGGTATTTCCTTTCAGCTGTCTCAAAGGACCCTTCGGTAGTGTCACTAGCAAAACATGCAGTTTTTAGTTTGCTTTAAAGGCCATATTACCTGGCTGTGAAGGATTCATGCTAATTGCCTTGCCCTGGCTATGGGGTATCCTCTGGCCAAACTGAGATCCCAATTGGGTAAGAAGAGACCATTCCTGACCCCAAGTCATAACCTAATAGGCCCAGGACTTAAAAATTAGATTAGGCAGCACCCTCCCCTGCCCCTCCCATGGTGACAAGATGGTGATCGTAACAGGCGTTCATTCCCCCATGCTGTGTCCCACTCAGCAGCAGGCTGTGTGCAATGGTTGTCCCTCTCACTAGGTTGACTCCTGGGCTGTGGCTCCACCCAGCATCTTACCTTGGCTTGCTACAGAATTCCAATGGGGGCAGAAGAATCTCATTTGAACATCCAGTGGGAGAGAAGAATCTCATTTATCAAAAATCTTACCTTCACAGATCATTTCATATACGATAAACAATGAGTTTGTCTCAAGCAATACCATAAACATTGAGTTTGCCTCAATCAACACCATAAACATTGAGTTTATCTCAAACAGAAAGTCTAAGACTCAAAATTCCAATTTTGGAATGGTACCCCGTCAACCATTTGAGCTCTGAATTTTCCTCGATATAATTTGCCCCTTAGTAAAAACATATGCACAAGAATGGGCCATCCTAGAAAACCTGACATGCCTTTAAACCTTGTATAAATTGAGACATCATAAACCAACTAGGGTGCACAAAGGGGGTCATTCTCCTTGTCTTAATTATTTTCAAAAGATTTCCCTCTCTTTGGAAAGCTCATTTACTACAAATGAAGACAGTTCAGTTCCCATTGCACAAAGGCACAGAAAAGCCAATTGGGATTAATTTTGGGGAAGAGGCAATGAAGACGACCCCTTAGCCAAAAATCACAATCAACAATCTAATGAACTGTCTCAAAGAATCTGAAAACAGCAAACCAATTCCAAACCCAGCAGAAGAGAAACCACCAAGGTGAAACCAGAACAGAAATTAATAACAAAAGAACTATACAGAAAATCAATGAAACAAAGTTGGTTCCCTGAAAAGACAGATAAAACTGACAGACCTTCTGCTAAATCATCCAAAACCAGAAAAGGACCCAAATAAACTCAATCAGAAACTGAAAAAGAGACATTACAACTGATACGACAAAAACACAAAACATCACCCCTGAATACTCCAGAAACACTTCTACGTAAACTAGAAAATATTGAGGAAATGGATGAATTCTTGAAAACAACCTCCCCAAGCTCAAGCAGGAAGAAATGTAACTTCCAAACAGACCATCACCAAGCAACAAAACTGAAGCTGTTGTAAAAAACATTCCTGTGAATAAAGTCCAGGACCAGATGGCTCCACAGCCAAACTTTACCAAGACCTAAAAAGAAGAAAAGGCAGCCACCTTGCAGAAATTACTTGACAACATCGAGAAGGAAAGAATTCTCCCCACCTTGCTCCGTGAAACCAGCATCACCCTGATACCAAAGCTAAGAAAAGACACAATGAAAAAAAGAAAACCACAGACCAACATTCCCCATGCAAAAACTCATCAAAATTCTAGCAAACGAAATTCTGCAATACACAAAAAAAACCCAATCCACCAAGACCAAGTGTGTTCCACCACTGGTCCAGTAGACACAAATCTACAAATGTGACCCACCACATAACCAGAAGCAAAAACAAAGGCCAGATAATTATCAACAGACGTAAAGTACCCAACAAAACTTAGCAGTCTTCATGATAAAAACCGAAGCAAATAGGCTTAGATGGAACATAACTCAAAATTGTGAAAGCCACATGTAACAAACCCATAGCCAACATCATACTCAATGGGGAAAAACTGAAAACATTCCCACATTCCTGGAACCAGATAATGTTGCTCAATGTTGCTCACCATTCTCTCCTCCACTCAGCATAGTACAGAAAATCTCACCCAGAGCAATCGACAGATAAGGAAAGCAAGGGCATCCAAATGGGGACAGAAGAGGTCAAACCATCACTCTGTATCGACAGTATGATCTTATATCTAGAAAACACCAAATGCTGTGCCAAGTAGACTCCAGAATTGATGAATAAATTCAGCAGTTTCAGGATTCAAAATCAACACACACAAATAGCATTCTTATACTCCCCAAAACAGCCAAGCTGAGAACCAAACCAAAGATTCAATGCCCTTCACAACATCAACAGCAACAACAAAAACCCCAAAACACTCAGGAATATATACAACCAAGGAGGCAAGAGACCTCCACAGGGAGAACCATGAGAGAAAATCACAGAGGATGGAAACAAATGGAAAACACATCAGGCTCACAGAATCAACACCATCAAAAACGTCCACACTACCCAAAGTGATCCTAAGATCCCAGGCAATCTCACCTGATCACCAATGTCATTCTTCTGGGTCCAGAAAAATATAATTCCATGTTTCACATGGAAGTAGAAGAGTTCAAACAGCCAAAGCAACTGTAAGTAAAAAGGGCAAGTGGGGGTTCATCACCCTACCAGACTCCAAGCCACACCATGAGGCCACAGCAACCAAAATAGCATGGCACTGGCACAAGAGCAGAGACAGATAAACGGATCAAAACAGAAAGCCCAGATATAAGACCATGCCCTCACTGCTATCTGATCCCCGATAAAGCAGACAACATACACTGAAGAATCCCCATTCAACAAATGGTGCTGGGAGAATGAGATAGCCACATGTAAAAGACTGAGACAGGATCCTCGCTTCTCACCCCTAACAAAAATTAATTCACAATGGACAACAGATTCAAACTCAAGGCATAAAACCATAAAAATTATAGAAGAAAATGCTAGAAAAAATCCTACAGGCATCTGCTTAGGCAAACAATCCATGAAGCCGACTCCAAAGGCAATCACAGCAACACTGAACATCAACAAATGGGAGCCAATCAAACCGAAATGCCTCCACCCAGCCAAGGAAACAATCAACAGAGCAAACAGACAACCCATGGAATAGGAGAAACCTCCACATGCCACACATCCAACAAAGGGCTGAATATACAAAGAACTCATAATAAAAAAAAAAAAAAAAATCAAACAACCCCACAGAAAAAGTGACCAAAAGACACAAACACAAACAGAAGCTTTCCAAAAGACAAACTAATGGCCAACAGACATAGAATGCACCTCCAAATCAAAATTAAGCAACTATCACATTTCCTCACACTCCAGACTAGGTTATCACAATGGAAAAACTCACCAGATAAGTGGTACAAAAAAAAAAAAAAATCAAACACCAATAATATAAGGCATTCTCAATATAATCTAAAATGCTGTACCCTAATACCATTCTCTTTCCAAAGTTTTTTCCTAAGGGTATTTAAAATGGAGCTTTCTTATGTTGCAACAGAACTCACAAACAACAGATAGGACTGAGGACAAATGCCATCGAAAATGGTACTGTACGGGTGTCCCAGATGTCCTGCCAGGTTGGAAGGTAAACCCTTCCCAAATGATGGCCAACAAAACCCACAAATAACAGACAATACAGGAGATCCTCAACACAAAAATGGTGTTCAAACAATGCCTATCAAACAAATGGGAATCTGAAGAGAATAAATGTCACCCCAAATGCCCAGTAAGGCTCCAGCCTCCCCAAATAATGGCCTAGTTCTCCTGTGCCCTGGGAACTGCAAATGAATTCAAACCAAGTTACCTAGTTCCACTCAATCTTGTGAATTCCACCCTGAAAATGTTCCCCCAAACCAAACCAACAGGAAGGTCTGAAAACCCCCCATATGGATAGAATCATGGTCTCGTCATGCACACCAGATTATCTACCCAATAAAAGACCTAGTGTCCAGATCCTTCTCCAATCCATTTCCTTCTCAACAACTCACTTCAAGTTGTGGGAGCTGCATCTACTTCAAGGAGACAGAGACAGACTTTCCCAGAGCTAAACAGGCTCTGGAAGCTGCTGAGGTTGTCTCTTGCTTTCTCAACTCAAACAGAAGTTGCCCTGACCATCGAAGACCCGCAGCTTTAATGTCTCTTACTGCAGTTGTGGGGTGCCATTCCACTGGGGTGCCCACAGGCCCAACCAGGGATGCCGAAATCTGTTACTGGAAAGCTCAACACTTACCCACTAGTCACATCAGAAAAATAGGGACAAGTGGTTTGAGAAGAAGGAAATAGAAGTTTATTAATTCACTGAGAAATGGGGAGGCTGGCAGACTTGTCTCAAAAAATACCAGCCTCCCTCAAATACGTGAAATTTTAACAATATATTTAACCCTGTGTATCTAAAAGAGTATCATTTCAACATATAATCAATATAAAAAATTAAGATATTTTACATTCTTTTATCCATGCTAAATCTTCATAATCCAGTGTATATTTTACACTTATAATATAGCCCATTTCTGACCAACCCCTTTTCAAATACTCAGCTGTTACATGTGACCTGTGGCTACTGTGTTTGAGAACACTGTTCTAAACTGGAGTATAATCAGGAACTGTGGAAAAACTGTCCAATGTTATAAAAATCTTCATAGCCCCATATCTACAAATTATAAAGTTACTCCCAATTTATTAAAAAAAAAAAGATTAAACTATCAAATGTAAGGAAATAATTTCCATGAATTCATAGTACTATAATGCAGTTTGACATGCCTTACCGTATGGTCATTCAAACTCACGTCCAAATCTTTTTTTTTTTTTTTGAGACAGAGTCTCATTACGTCACCCTCGGTAGAGTGCCATGGCGTCACAGCTCACAGCTACCTCAAACTCTTGGGCTTAAGCAATTCTCTTGTCTTGGGCTCCCAGAAGCTGGGGCTATAGGTGCCTGCCATAGCACCCTGCTATTTTTTTTGTTGTCACTGTTGAGCAGGCCCAGGCTGGGTTTGAACCCACCAGCCTTGGTGTATGTGACCAGCACCCTAACCACTGAGCTACAGGCACCAAGCCATCATGTCCAACTCTTAAAGCTTGGTCAAATACCAAACGAGATAGTAATAACAACAATAATGATAACAATAACAGCTAACATTTGAGTGCTTTATTATGTACCCAGTACTGTTCCAAGTGTTTTACATGGATTAACTCATTGAAGAAAAGAGGCTAATTGTTATTAACAGATTTAAGCTCCTAAATATCAATTACATAAATAACATACAGGTATTTCAGGAATAATTGTCTTTTTTTCTCTCTCCATGATTATCTTAACATTTCATTTCATATATGTACCCATCTCTATGACTTTATATTATTTCAAAATGTTTACTCCTTCTCAACACCTTATAGTATTCCCTTCTGCCATATATTTTTGGGATTAAATTATATTCACTTTAAAATTTTATTTTTCCTTAGCTTCCAATGTTTTTATACTGGTTTTATCCATAGCAAATATCATCTTCCCTAAGAAATGCAACGTCTAGCTTTGCATCATTAATATTTTGTAGTTACTATTTACGTAGACTGTCTTCTTTACTCTCTCTCTCAAATACCTACAATATAGTGTTTATAACACTACTGGACAGAGCAACAGATGCTGAATCAAATGATGCTGCATAACAAAGCTGTATTGTGATTTTCTCTCTCTCTCTCTCTCTTTTTTTTGTAAGAAACAGGGTATACAGAACAGACTGGAGGATAGTAGCATGATCACAGCTCACTGTAGTTTCTAATCCTTGGGCTCAAGTGATCCTTCTGCTTGAGACTCTCAAGTAGGTGGGGCTACAGGCATATGCCACCATACTCAGGTAATTTTTTTTTTCATTTTATGTAGAGATGTGGATCTTACTATGTATCCCAGGCTGGTATCAAACTCTTTGCCTCAAGCAATCCTCCCACCTCAGTCTTCCCAAGTGCTAGGACTATAGATGTGAGCCACTGCACCCCCCCCACAGTTTATCATCTTAGTTCCTTTACTCTTTTAATTAAAAAAAAAAAAGGAAGCAGTGTTTTCATTTACATCCTTAATGAATAACCATAAAAATAATTCAACACCTTTTACACTGTGTAAATAGTTTAACTTTTCATTTTGCCACTACACATAATACTAAGCCTCTTCTTTTATCACAGAGATTCTCAGGAAAAATTAGTAAGTTGAGTCTTTTCAACAGTTTAGCAGGCTGTTCATACTACCTCAGGCAAAAGCAAACACGAACACAATCTACCCTTTTCCCTTTCTCAATTTCTTGAGATACTGAGGGGATAGCAACAGTAAGGATTCAACTAACTTTACCAATTCATATTTAAGTGCTTGAAGGAACTGCAAAAAGGTGTTCTATGATGCTTGCTTTCATCGGAGTAACATCTTAATGATGAAACAACTTTATCTCCAGATGAATAGATATCCAAATCTTCTGTCAAAAAAAAAGAAAACACCAGGGATTACACACTACAATCAGACACTAGGTATTTCATTCTAGGCTCCTTTGGCAAGACAGAAAATTTACTGAATGATTTTTTATCTGTGTGTCTGCCTAATGCAAACTAACAAAAAAAAGGACCAAATCTTATATTTATTTAGCACTTCACTGATTACAAAATGCTTTTCCATCCATTATTTTACTTGATCCTAGCAATAACCCTATGAAACAAGCAGAATAGGTGCTTTTAACCCTATTCTATAGGTTAAGAAGCTAAGGATCAGAAAAACTATGCCACCTTTTCCAAATAACACAGCCAGCTAATGTATAACTTGCAAATTCAGAACCTAGACTAAAATACAGAATCCAGCCTTTCTACTTAAAGATGATACCTCTTTGGTGCTCAAATATTTAATAAATTGTTAGCCTACAATTAAATTCAGTAAATAAAAAGAAAAGGACAATTTCTGTGACAAGATTTGAAGTACTTCTAAATGTATAAATCCGGCCAGGCACGGTGGCTTACGCCTGTAATCCTAGATATCTGGGAGGCCCAGGCAGATGGCCTCCCCTGAGCTCAGAGGTTTGAGACCAGCCTGAGCAAGCACAGAACTCTACTTCTAAAAATAGCCGGGTGTTGAGGTGGGCGCCTGTAGTCCCAGCTACTATGGAGGCTAAAGCAAGAGAATCACTTGAGCTCAATAGTTTGAGGTAGCTGTGAGCTATGAAACCACAGCACTGTACTGAGGGTGACAAAGTGAAACTCTGTCTCAAAAAAAAAAAAAAAGAAAAGTATAAACCCTTCTCTAATAGTCATCTTTACTCTCTCGGAAATTTAATGATAATTTAAATTTAACTATAGCTAGACAAGGTGGCTCACACCTGTAATCCTAGCACTCTGGGAGGCCAAGGCAGGTGGATTGCTTGAACTCGCGTGTTGAAGGGCAGCCTGGGCAAGATAGAGACCCTGTCTCTACTAAAAATACAAAAACTAGCCTGGTGTTGTGGCAAACACCTGTAGTCCCAGATACTCAGGAGGCCGAGGCAAGAGGATTGCTCAAGCCCAGAGAGTTTGAGGTTGCTGTGAGCTACAATACCATAGCATTCTACCTAGGGCAATGGCATTAAGACACTGTCTCAAAAATAAATAAATTTAACTAAAATTTTTAGTTATATTTTGGAAGACTGGAAATTTGGGGGCAAATTTCAAACTAAAGTACAATTTTAATTTAAGAGAGTTTAATATAATGGACTCAGTATTATCTGGAATTTTTTTTCATTCTGAAGGAATGTTTCAGAAGAGTGTTTTTCAAATCAAGTCATTAAAGATAATTATACCAGCTTATCCAATTAGCTGGCATAATTCACCAAAGCAAACATGAATAAATGATTCCAAAATTCAAAGTGAAATAGTTTAGGAAAAAAATTGCCACATCTGATGAACATTTAAAGACATACTGTTTTTGCTGCAATTCTCCCAAACATTAATGATTAGACTTACTAGTAACAACATAACCTAAGAAGCACTAATAAATTAATAAACCAGAATTTAATACATATTAACAGATATACATGTTAGCTATAAATTATCACATGACATTATAAGCTCTCCATCTCAATTTTTTTCAAGTACATTTTTTGACAAATTCCTCTTCTAATGTAACAGTTAATATCCTAATGACTTAGGAAAGTTTGTACCTAAATAAAAAACCAAAAAAACCCCATTAGTTTTCTTTACCCAACATAAAGGTTTTTTTTTGGGGGGGGGGGGTTGCTTTTTTTTCCCAGCAGGTGAGTTGTTACACACTCCTTAGCAGGTTCCAACTTCCATGACCACTGTCTCGCTTACTCAATATAGTTTAATGTTTAACATCATCAAGGCTGACATACTATAATTTAAAATACCAAAATAAGTAATTTAATTGGATTTCCAAAAATATCTTAATACATTTACCCCCAGAATCATCATTACTATTAGCTTATTACCAGGATAAAAGAAAGCTCAGTATCACGAGATTTAGCACTGATCATAAGTCTAAACAGTATTTTTTCAAAAACCTCTCAAATTAACCTTGTTAATTTAGCCCCTTTATACAAAATACTCTAATGGCTTACCTAGGGAGGTTAGAGAGCTTCTCTTATATTCAGCCTGATGAAAATCTGAAAATTCATACTAAAAAAAAGACATATTTAATTTGTTTTCTAAGAATCAATTTACTGCCTCAAGTTATTTCCCCACAAATTACATATTAATTACAAAGGCAAAATTATGAAAATTATGGTGGAGAAATGTGGTAGACACCACCTTAACCAAGTGACCAAAGTTAACACCACCAATAATGAGACAAACCAACATCACGTACCTCTTGATTCATCATCAACATCATGTACCTCTTGATTCACCGCCCATCACTCATCTCCCATCCCTGCCAAAAACGCACCACCAGAATCTAATCGAGGTATCTATCCATCAGGCAAACCCACCCTGATGGACCTTCTAATAAATAATTTTACGCTTTTTAAAACTACCAACGTTACTAAAAACAAAGGCATTTCTTCCAGATTGAAGGCAACAAGAGACAACCAAATGGCGCGCCATGGACCGCAGAGTAGTCAAGTTCACTCTTGGACTGGATATGCACCAGGCAAAAATTTTACTACAAAGGACATTATTGAGATAATTAGCAAAACTTAAACATGAACTATAGATTGCTCAGTATCATTGCACCAGTGCTTAATTTCCTAAAAATACTACTGTCCTTATAAAAAAGAATGTCCTTATTTTCAGGAAAAACACTAAATTATTCATATTTAGGAATAAAGACGCATGACGCCATCAAATTGCCCTCAAATTGGGGAAAATGTGTATGGAGAGTGAGAGAACGAATGATAAAGAGAATGTGGCGGGAAAACAACTAGTGAATTCAAGTAAAGGATATTAGGGAGTTCTGCAACTTTTAAGTTTGAAATCATTTAGGTAAGATGCTCTGAAAAAGAAATCTAATCATTTTGCTAAACTCTGCTCGCATTTCAAAGTACAAATTGCACAACTTCTACAACGCCGTACCAATGCTGTGCATAACATTAAGCTTGCGATGGACATCTGCGGGCGTCCAAACCCCAGCAGCCACAGGACCCCACTGAACTGGCTTTCCCAGCAGCCTCCTGCCCCGCAAAGCGGCCCCGACCCTCCTCGAGGCCTCACCTCGACGGGGCAGCTGCCCCTTAGTCCGTAGCGGCTTTTGAGACGCTCCACTACGAAATCCTGCCCCGGCGGCTTGACTACCCTGCGGTCCATGGCGCGCCGCAACCACCGCGGTCTCCCCGGGAACCGCGTTCAAACCCGCGGCTCGGCGCGGTGGAGGCGGGGCTTGCGCTGCGCGCGTGCGTCATGACGTAGATCCGGCCCCTAGGGCTACGTACGGCCGATAGGGCTGTACCTCGCAGATGTCTCCTTAGTCCCGGTTCTCACCTTACAGATGTAGGAGAACAAGTGGCTCCGCGTCTACCCGAGTGTGCCACGGAAGCAGTGCGGCCGACCGGCCCATGTGCGAGCCGAAGGTACAGAGGCTGAATCAGCCTGCAGAGCCCCCCTGCAGCTCGCACTGAATATATTTTAATGTGCAAGTTGGGGGCATTTGCACTTCCCAAAGTATACCTGGCTTTTCATCAAAGGTGGGCTTTGTTAACTGTCATATAAAAGAAAAACATAAAGAAAAGGAATGCTAGGCGTAGAAATTGCAGAGGATTACCTCTTTACTTTCTCTATGTTCCATATGTGGTTAACGGTAACACAATAATTAAAACTTAAGTTCCTTGAAAAAACTGCTTTTTTAAAAAAACAGCTTTTCCTGGGCAGCGCCTGTGCACGGTAAAGGAGTAGGGCACCAGCCCCAAATGCCGGAGGTGGCAGGTTCAAACCCAGGCCCGGCCAAAAACTGCAAAAAAAAAAAACCAAATTTCCCCAGTGCCTACAACTGCCTAGCACTTAGCAGGTGCTCAATATTTATTGCCATGGTTTCCCAACCTGAAAATCTATGTTCAACAGAGACTGAGGGAGACAATTGTACAACCACTTAATGTCTCTTGCTGAACTGTACTGATGTAATCATTTACTCTTCTAAATTGTAACTGTAAACTGCAAGTCTGGAGTAACAAATGAGATTCTATGGATTATTCTTAAAGTTGTCTAAATGCCCAAGTGTTGTAAGATCAATACTTTTAACAAATTAGTTATATGAAAATTGAAAATAATGCTTTTTTGCCATAAAGTACCACTTAAAATGTACAAATAATGAATTACTTTATTCTATCTTTAAGCAGATTTTAATGAGACAATATAAAATCCAATCATCTTTTAAAAAAAGAAAAAAAATACATATTGTGGGTTTATACCACATCAGTGATTAACAAAGAGAAATCACAAAGTCCTTTCCCAAAATGTGACACAAAGACTTTCTTATAAAAATGCCACAAGTCATGGTTAAGCATCTTTGGAATACTAATAATGGAAAAGTCCGTTTACATGTCATTTTGTCAAATTTTTGGTCAAAGTTTTGCTAAAGCTTTCTATTTCATAACTTTAATGTTTTAGGATAGCACAGAAATCCATAAAAAGTCTCTTTAAAAGCACTTACATTTACTTAAGAATTATTCAAAACTCATGACAAAGTCATCAATTGTTCCAGCTAAAAAGTTATAACACACTTTACATCAATTTATATTACATAGGTCTCAAAAGAAACCAATTTGCAATATTAAATGTGCACATATGTAGTCCATGTTCTTTTCATGGTTCAACTAACACATCTGGATATACTGATTTCAAGTATGGTTTGGGGGTCAAGTGGACTGAGTGATGATATTCTATCACCCATTAGGACATTTTCTCCCCTTGTGTATGACTGATAGTTGAACAAGTATTTACTATAGGATACTCTATTTCCAAATTTTCCTAGAATGAGTAAACCTGTCTTTTCTCACTAAACAAAATGAGATAATTTCACTGGGAAGAACATAGGAAGGTGGAAAACAGTCAAAATTCATGATTGGAATGTACAAAATTTTGTTCTCTAACTGGATTCTTTGTAGTTCTATGAATAGGTCAATTAAGAACACCCTCTTTTCCTCAATAGTTTACCTAATATTTGATGCAAGCCATTTCCAAATACTTTTCTGTGTGTATCAAACTTAGAAAATTACATGCTACTTTGAGTTTACTGACTTTGTCTCCTTACATCTAGTACTAGAATGACAACTAGATGCACAAGTAATTAATTATTTTACATGTCATGGCTCTTATGAATTGTCATTCTATTTCTGCTACAAAATTCACCAGAAAAAGAACTGCAACAATCTATTATAAAGCAAATCTTTAACCAAGACCATGGTATGGACTTTCTAAAAATCACTGTGATTCATAGTTTATCACAATAACTGCAAGGAAAAATGCAAAATCTATCATCGGAACCAAGCTGCAGTTTCTGAGGTAGTAGAGACAGATGAAAGTTTAAAAAGGAAAAAACAAAAAAACCCCATAAATACAACCAAGGAAAATAGTCAACTTGTTTAAAATGTAAAAATTAATTTAATACCTTTGAAAAGGCACAGAATGCTACATATTTTAAGAAAGAAAGGTACTCTATTAAAAGTTAACTTATAGCTATACAGGAGGCGTAAAGATTACAGAAGAGCACTTCAGTTAACTCAACCTTCTGTTGCTCTACCTATTCAAAAATGAGTATGCATAAATGAACACAACAAATAGTTAAGATTATCAAATATATTCAAATCTAAAATAAAATTATCAAGTTGTGGTCCCTTTATTTAAATGGTAAGTATATCCATGCAGAAGTCCAAATATCTTAAAAGGAAATAAAATTTAAATTGCATATATCATATTCCTTCAATAGTTTAAGAAGGTCTATTGCTTTTAACAAGATTAATATTGTTCCATTGTAATACAAATATATCAGGAGTACATAAACACAAGTACACCTGAAATACACCAGTGTTAAAACTTTTATTTCATACCATGCAAGGTCAATTATAACACATTAAAAAGTGACAACAGCTATAAGCTGCATTTTTACATTTATACATCAAAAACGTCCATTTTCAAAAGCTGAACATAATTACTATATTGCCTTTAACAGCTAAGCTTCAATTCAACTGCTTATACAGAAAAAATTTACTATGAAAATCAATGATTTTATAGCTGTCCACATTCTGTGATACTTATTCTTTTATTAACAGACCCTTTAGGAGAACCAAATGATTCAATCTTTCTCACAGTATCCATGCCATCCTTAACAAACCCAAACACTACATGCTTAAAGTCCAAATGTTCTGCTTTCTTCAATGTTATAAAAAACTGAGAATTATTGGTATCCCGGCCTCGATTGGCCATGGAGAGTAACCCAGGACCGGTATGTTTCACATCAAAGTTTTCATCTTCAAATTTGTCTCCATAAATTGACTTTCCACCTGTTCCATCATGTTTGGTGATATCTCCCCCCTGCAAAAAGATTTCAGTTAGTAGGAATCCAAATAAAACATTAAAATATACACAGAACTCATCACTACCGGACAAATTTTTAAAAATAACCCAGTAGTGTTAAGAATGCAGTTTGAAAACTAAGAAATATGTATTTTTGGAAAGAAAAATAAAAAATGAAAAGATCTTTTTCCTACCACTCAGATTCTATTAGGTTTCAAGTATTAAAAGTTTAAACTATTTTAGGCAGAAAGTTTTCAGTAGGGGTAGGTAAAGGGGTAGTGACACCAACTAATGTGTGGAATAACTAAAGAAATCTTAGAAAGATAGGATGAGGCCAAGGAAAAACACTCAAATTTCCCAAATTAATCTGGTAGACTCTTCTAGACTTTAATTGTAATACACAGTTAATACTTACCTGACAAACAAAATCTGGAATTACTCTGTGAAAAATGGAGTTCTTGAAACCAAAGCCTTTCTCTCCAGTGCACAGTGCTCTGAAGTTCTCAGCAGTTCGAGAAACAATGTTGGAAAATAGTTCCATGGTTATACGTCCTAGAGGCTCACCATCTGCACTAACATCAAAAAACACCACAGGGTTGGTCTCCTTTGATAATTCTGCTGCCAGTGATACATGTCCTTTCTGGAGTTTCAATAAATTCTGTTGACATTCTTCAAATTTTTTCTTAAAAAAATCAGCCACATCTTTAGTTTTAAATCTCACTGCAAGTTGCTCTACTTTTGCTTCACCATCTGTTGAAGAAAAAAGAAACAGGACCTTTGTGTTAACTGTTATAAATTGTTTCATACCTTTGTTATGGATTTTAGTAAAGTCCACAATATGAAAAGTAGCATCTGAATGTAGAAACTCACCAGCATAATCTGAGGCAGTCCAAACTAAAGCATTATTTGAAACATTTAAGGGTTTTAATTCCATTGTTTTGGTAATAACATGGTTTGCACACACTTTAAAGACCTGGTCTCTTCTCATTAGGATCCGATAGTAGTTCTTCACTGTATGCCAAAGAATCTTTATATCTCCAACACCACGCTCTTTCCACTGATTGACATCCCGATCCCATCTGTAAAGTTTGGCTCTTTCTTTAAACAAAATTTCTTCATCTTCCTCTCCAGATTTTACTTCTACCTGTAATAGTACATAGATTTATTTAAGCAGTTGCTTATAATAAATTCTATAACAAATTCCAAAGATCAAAATTCCTTAAAAGATATTTTCTTTGTGATGATTTTAACAGAACTTCTGTGTTATTAAAATTATATCCTAAAGCTAGGAATACATCTGATTTTGTTGAGGCAGTGAAAAACTGATTTGTCCTTCAAAATCTTTTCTTTAAAAAAAGGGGGGAAAAACCCACTTTAATCCATTTGGAATTTGCACTGGGATTTAACAGGAAACATAGATTCAATGTTACCCTTTCTAGATGGCCACCCAGTGGTCTGAATACTCTTTACTAAAATGCCCCATTTTTTACCTCAAAAAAAAAAAAAAAAAAAAAAAACCATTTTCTTTTACACAGTATTCATTCTCATTCTCTTCTTGGAAATTAAATGCCTTCCTTATAGGACAGAAGAGATTTCAAAAATGTTTATTATGGGGCAGTGCCTGTGGCTCAGTGAGTAGGGCACCAACCCCATATACAGAGGGTGGCGGGTTCAAACCCAGCCCTGGCCAAACAGCAACAACAAAAAATAGCCGGGCGGCTGTAGTCCCAGCTACTCAGGAGGCTGAGGCAAGAGAATCGCCTAAAGCCCAAGAGTAAAGATCTATTTTCACAGTAAAGGTTGTTGTGAGCTGTGATGTCATAGCACTCTATGGAGGGCAACAAAGTGAGATCTGTCTCTAAAAAAAAAAAAGTTTATTATGTTTTAAAAACAAACATGATATTCTACAACATATGAAAAAAATTGCTTTTCCCAACAATTGCATATGGAAATTTACCAAGCAACATTCATATGAAAACTTCAGACAGACAGTGTATACTGAAAGGCTGATGCCCAATAAATTGAGCTTCCATTTCAAATTGTAAATATTCTCAAATGCTAACAACAATATACCTACAATCAAGCCAGGATAAGCTTTAATCTTAAAATGAAAAATGAAGTATTAGTAAAATTTTCATTCCTTAACATTTACCTCTGGTAATGACACTATTGGCTCAAAATGGATATCTTCATTATGAACTACTTCTTCATCACTACCTTCTTCATCCTCGCCAACTTTACTGGTTGATTGTGTTCCAAACACAGTTGCCCCGGTATTTGCCCACTGAAAATTTTTATCTGGTGGATAAATTAGGATATTTAAACATTGGTTTGTTTTTTTTGTTACTGTTCTGAAACACTGTTATATTTTTGCAAGTTTTTTATCCTACTGTTAGAGTATTTCATTAATGCATCTAATTTCCAAATATATAGCTAATAAAAATGTTTAAAATTATATTACTCTGGCAAGTTCAACTCATGTAGTGAGCATAAAGTACATTTAGTACTGTTTTTGCTCAGTCACAAAGATAAGATGGTCTGCCTTAGGTAAACTTCATACTGAACTACATAAGAATTTCCACTAATGAAGTAGGTTCTTGAAAGTACATACCTAAAATTTTGAAAACTTAGCTCAGCTTTCAGAAGTGATCTCTGTCATAAAGTCTTTTATCACATGTGAAAAATAACTTTTGAACCTAAAAATGTCCTTGAACAAGCCAAATCTGCTACTTTCAAACTACCCACAATAGCCTAAACACATGTTTATAACTTCCACACCTCATCTTCTTCCTGAAGAACCTAGTGTTAGAATTTAGATTTCTTGGCCAGGTTGATTGGTAAGTAGCCTTTGGAGAAGGTCTCTGAATTACCCTTTCTTCAGGGGATACTACATTGGTAAGGCTTACCACTTCAGTGCAGGAGACAGTGATGGCCTATCTCCTCCATTCTGAAAGATCCTGAGAACTAAAAGGTTCTTTCTCCATTCCCCTTAACTTACATGGCCCATCCTACCACATTCCCTCCCCACTATCTCAGAGGAAAAAAACATCTCTTTTATCTTTTTATTACTTACAGAACCCTGTAATCTATGCTAAAGACTCGGAAGAAAGGGAAAATGTCACAGAGCACCAAAAAGGTAACTCAGCACCTTAAAGAAAGAACATGTGGATAAATAAATCAACTTTTTTTTTTTTTTGAGACAGAGCCTCAAGCTATCCCCCTGGGTAGAGCGCCATGGCATCACGCTCATAGCAACCTCTAACTCCTGGGCTCAAGCGAGTCTCCTGCCTCAGCCTCCCAAGTAGCTGGGACTACAGGCGCCTGCCGCAACGCCTGGCCATTTTTTGGTTGCAGCCATCATTGTTTTTTGGCAGGCCCGGGCTGGGGATTCGAACCCGCCACCTTAGGTGTATGTGGCTGGCGCCTTAGCCGCTTGAGCCACAGGCGCCAAGCCAATAAATCAACTTCTAATGAAGATTTAATGGAGAAAAAAATTAAATACAAAAAAGGGACATACAGAAGAAATGATTTGAAAATAAGTAAATCACAACCCCAGGCTTTCTGAAAGTAGGAACTGATGATCAGGATAAGAGAAAAATTGGGGTGGCACCCACAGGACACTGGACACACACACTGAGGCTGTTGGGTTTGAGCCCGGCCAGGTCAGCTAAAATAACAATGACAAATGCAAGAAAAAAATAGCCAGGCGTTGGTAGTCCCAGCTACTTGGAAGGCTGAGGCAAGAGAATAGCTTAAGCCCAAGTTTGAGGTTGCTGTGAGCTGTGATGCCACAACACTCTTCTCAGGGCAATAGGATGAGACTCTGTCTTCAAAAAAAAAAGGGAAAAACTCAAAAATATCCAGGATCTTTAACTGGAAATAACCCTAGGATATATGTGGCACAAAAATGTTTAAATTCTTCTAAAACAGTAGTTTTCTGCCTTTGTTGTGTATTAGAACAATTACTTTGTAAAATATCAGTGTCTGGGTGTCACACTCAGAAATGCCAATATAGTTATTCTTTTTAAAAGGGCTCCTGGATAATTTGAAGAGAAAGCCAAAAGCTGAAAACTCCTTCCTTAAAGAGACCAGAAGAGAAAATTTACAAAGTAGAAAAGGTATACATGTGAATAATCAGTATAAATTACAAAATAACAATTCTAGATAAGAGTGCCTAGGAGGCTTCTGTGTGTTTTGCAAAAACATTAAAAAGTCTGAAGCAAATGTGATGAAATAGCAAGCTGTATCAAAGGTGGGTGTAGTTTTGCTTGCATAAGATATATTACACAACATACATGGAATAGTCAACAGACCTGTATGCACAGAATTTTCAGAAAAAAAAATGAACATAAAACACAAAGAAATAAAAGAAAACAAAAGAGGTTCAGTGCCTGTGGCTCAAGAGGCTAAGGCACCAGCCACATACACCTGAGCTAGCAGGTCTGAATCCAGCCCGGGCCTGCCAAACAACAATGATGGCTGCAACCAAAAAACAGCCGGGCATTGTGGCGAGCGCCTGTAGTCCCAACTACTTAGGAGGCGGAGGCAGGAGAATTGCTTGAGCCCAGGAGTTTAAGGTTGCTGTGAGCTGTGATGGCACAGCACTCTACCCAGGGTGACAGCGTGAGGCTCTGTCTCAACAACAAAAAAAAAGGAAACAAAAGAGATAGAAAGATGAACAGATGAAAAGGCAACCACCACACAAATAGTATAATGAAGAGCCAAGAGCAGTGACTCTAAGTCTAAAAGTAAACAAAAGAAGTTTAAAGACCAAAGAGACCATCTAATGCCAAGTACAGAGGTACATATTAAAAAAAATTAAAAAAAAATCCACATTCTCAAACTCTTAAATCCTACAGGCTTCACTAAATGCAGAAGAAAGAAGATAGAAACTAAATCATCTGAAATATGCAAGTATGAAAATTCTCTATGAAAATCTAAAAGAAAACTGCAGAGCACTTATAGTTTCAAATAATTATTTTTAACAAACACATCTAAAAAGTAAGCATTCCACATACAAGAAATTTAACAAAAATAACAAAATTTAAAGCTAAATAAAAACAAAAGTAGAATCGCTAAAGCCCAAAGCGGCTTCCTTTAAAAGTATACAAACTCCTGCCAAACACAAGAACAAAACAAAGTGAGAATGTTTGAAAATGAAATACAAGCTTTTCTAACATATAATCTTGTTAAGAATGACAAGTAGGCCAGGCACATTGGTTCATGTCTACAATCCTAGCACTTTGAAAGGCCAAAATGGGAGGATCCCTTAAGCTCAGGAATTGGAAACCACCCTGAGCAAAAGCAACATCTTGTCTCCACTAAAAATAGAAAAGTTAGCTAGGTTTGTGGCAGATACTTGTAGTACCAGCTACTTGGGAGAGTGAGGCAAGAGGATTGCTTTGAACCCAGGAGTTTGAGTTTGCTGTGAACTAGGCTGATGCCATGGCATTCTAGCCAGGGCAATAGAGTAAGACACTGTCTCGGTGGAAAAAAAAGGAAAAGGCTCAGCACCTGTAGCTCAGTGGCTAGGGTGCTAGCCACATATACCTGGGCTGGTGGGTTCGAACCTAGCCCAGGTCTGCCAAACAACAATAACAACTACAACAAAAAAATAGCTGAGCACTGGGCATTGTAGTCCCAGCTACTTGGAAGGCTAAGGCAAGAGAATCGCTTAAGCCCAAGAGTTTGAAGTTGCTGTGAGCTGTGATGCCGTAGTACTCTACCAAGGGTGACATAGTGAGACTCTATCTTAAAAAAAGAATGGCAAATAAAGGCGACGCCTGTGGCTCAAAGGAGTAGGGCGCTGGCTCCAAACACCAGAGGGGGCGGGTTCAAACCCAGCCCCGGCCAAAAACTGCAAAAAAAGAATGGCAAATAGTAGTGAGAAGTGAGTGTGTAAGGCTTAGTAAGGCATGGCTCCCTTTTGATAATTTTAAGTCTTATCTATTTCCTAATTCTGAGCATAATATTGACATAGTACTTTTAAAAGGTACACTGAATAACAAGCAGCCTAACAATTTTTATTTGGCTTTATTTTGGTGAATAATTACATCCAGTGCATGGTTGTACTTATTTGACATAATACTTTTGATTTCAAGCTACTTAATAAATTAAAACAAAAATAAACAGTATCAGTGAAGCCATGAATTCTAACATTACATCATATCTGAAGGTATTTTAAACACCTATGTGTTTCTGTAGGTGACAGGAGCTATCAAAAAATGTAAATATTTAAGTGGGAAGAACAGTATTCTGAGAATTGTATTCATCATTAAAGCATATATCTTCAAGAAAATTTATTCCGCACATCAAACATCTTGTACAAGATCAATGTAGGTAGTGCCATCATCACAGATATGAAACGCATTACAAGAATAAGAAAACACTATACAATGAACGGCCATATGGAGATAAACTTGAAATAATAAAGGAAGTGGATTACTTTCTACAAATGCTACCAAAGTGGATTAAAAGTAGAAACAACACTGAAAGACAGAAAAGCTAAGCACAGTAATTAGCATCACCCTAATATTGAACTCCACAGAAAGTGCAAAACAGAAAACTACAAAACCAAAAAAAAAAAAAAAAAAGAGGAAACTACAAAATCACCTCTTAAAAATGTAAATTAAAAAATCGTGAAATATCCACAAGTCGTATCTAAAAATCAGGTCAAAAGAACAATGTTATCAAAGTCAGGATAATCCCAAGGTGAAAAATGATTCCGCACATCAGGATGAGGAGGACTATCAGAATGACTTACACTAAATTAGAGATAACTTTTATGATTTTATTAATAAATGTCCAAAATAAAATGTAGAAGCCCTTCATTATTGAAACATTAAACAAACTGGGGGAAGGGGTAGAGGAAGAATCTCCCAATTGAGTTATAACATTGTAATAAATGACTGTTTATTTCACTTGTGCTAAAATATCTCCTAATCTTACCTTTAGAACCAAAAGCAAAATCTCCAGAATTACTGGAAGCCAAGTCTGCAAATGACAGCCCTGTGCTACTTCCAAATCCAAATGAAACTGTTTTGCTTTCTACTGGCAAAAGGAAAAGAACAATTTAATATTTCATTTAAACATCAAAGCTTTACCCAGGTCTCAGAAAGAACAGTAGGCCTTCTATACTATAGGACCGGGGGTAGGGTGGGGTGGGTGGTGGGGGTGGTGGAATAGTGTTAGCATTCATATTCTAGTAAGTTACAAATATAACCAATTCCGAGCTTCTTCAATATTATTAACTTTATGGGTACCATATAGAAATACAGACCTATCTATATTAAGGCAGATATAGAACTATACAGTTTCAGCTTTCTATAAAAATAGAAACAACACTGAAAAAGATGGAAAGCAACTACAGTTTATATGCTTTAAAACAAGCATTCAGCCAAAGGCAGGGTTTTAGGAAGTATCTGTTTAAAACTTTGTGTTCTGTATTATAATAAGCTCATAAAAACTAAACATCCCATTTACACCTGGGCATTAGGACTTTCGGGTTCTTAATTCTGCCAACGTGTAACTGTGTGATCTCTCAAAGTCTTGTGCCTTACTTTCCTCATTTGAAAATGTATTGAGTTTTTAGGTGTGAAGTTACCTTCCTCTTCTAACACATTAAGACTCTGAACCATCTACATAAATATACTATTTGTAATGTTTAAAACTGTTTCTTAAAAAAAAAAATCAGGTAATGTAGACAAGGTAAACACATAAAAAAATGCAGTTTTAAAAGATACTTCCCACTTACTCCTCCCAAAAATTGAAATGGAAAAACAAAGGAGAAAGCAATACAACATATTAGTTACTATTAACTGAATACTAGTAAGTTTTAAGGCTGGTAGAGAAAGTCATCTAAGTAGTACCAAAAAATTTTATACCTACATTGTAGTATTTCTATAATTATGTTGCATATAATTAAAATATTTAAAATATGCTCAAGTGATAATATAATTCAAATAATATTCAACTGAAAAGACTTTCGCAAAGGAAATTACCACGTAAAGAAACTACTGCCTTTTAATATCAGGCTAGTTCAGAGTCATAATGCTTTGTATTCCCTAATAATCATATCTCTATCAATAAAAACACTTTTTTTTTTTACTCTTTGCCTCACGTATGAAGTTTTACCTTGGCTTGTAGAATCTGCATCAATTTCCTTTCTAGCAGACAAATCTACAGGTTTGTCTGCAGTTTCAGAAGACACAAGTGGTGAACTAGGAGATTTGTTAACAGACTCAGGTTCTTCAGATTTACTGAAAAAAGGTACTGTTACTTCAGTCCCACCTGTACATGCACTTTTGGCTGGGCTAGTTACTTCTTCACTGGGAGGTTTCTGCAAAGAGGAAGTAATAAAACATGCCATTAAATACTAATTTACAAAAATAATGAAATAACTGATTTCAAAAGAAACTGAAGACTTGTACTTCCAGACAAGATGGAACAACTATAAGAAGCCTCAGGGCCAGACACAGTGGCTCACGTCTGCCTATAATCCTAGCACTCTAGGAGGCTGAGAGGGGAGGATCACTTGAAGCCAGGAGTTCCAGACCACCTGAGCAAGGGTAAGAACCCATCCCCATGAAAAAGAAAAACTTTAGCCAATATACATGTGCTTGTAGTCCCAGCTCTTCGGGATACTGGGGCAGTCAGTTTGCCCCGGGAGTTTGAGGTTGCAGCTGTACTGTGCTATGATGACACCACCACACTCCAGCTTAAGTAACAAAGCAAAACTTTGTCTCAAAAAAAAGAAAAAAAAAAAATTACCATCTTACTCAAGCTCATCTACCTTATACCTGAGGCTTGGTTGGGAGGTTGGTAACTGCAGCACAGCCTCTAGGGTTTCTCCAGTCTCCCACCCCTAGTCCAAGGGCGCTGCTCCAACCCCCAGACCAGCAATGCTGCCTGGTGGTATAAGACAGTTCCTCCACCTCACTGTTGCTTCCACTCTTGGAATTTGATATTTAATTTTTTAAAAATATACCCAGATAACATCATAAGATCAAGAGCAGGGCAACACAAAAATGTACATTCTCACCACTTTTATTCAACATCATACTAGAAAGTCTAACAAGATAAAACAAAAAAAATAATAAAATAAAACAAAAGGAAATAAAAGGCATGAAGATTATAAAGGTAAAAAATAAAACTGTCTTTGTTCACTGATGACATGATTGGCTATATTAAAAAAAACCCACAAAGAATAGGCAAGGAACTCCTGGGACTAATATTGATTATTAAAGTTTTACAAAATAACAAGTGAATATACAAAAGTCAACTGCCTTTTAATAAACCAGCAACAAATAAGAATTTGAAACCAAAAACACAGTACCATTTACATTAGCACAAAAACCCAAAACTGGATTAAAATGCCAAAATATGTATACTTACAAAGAAAACTATAAAATTCTGATAAAATAAATAAAAGAAAATGTAAATAAATGGAGACATACTCCATGTTCAATACTGTGATGATGTCAACTCTTCTCAACTTGACCTACAGAATTAACACAATTCCAATCAAAACCCCATCTAGTTATTTTGCAGGTATGGGCAAACTTATTCTAAAGTTTATATGGAAAGATAAAAGACACAAAATAGACAAAAACAATACTAGGTCTGACACCATAAAACTCTAAGACTTACTACAGGGTGTCCCAAAAGTTGCCCCTAAAGTCATTATACATACACAAAAATAAAGGTAAAAAGCTAAAATAACTTTAGAAAATATTAACTACAAAATTTTATAAAGAGGTGGTCAACACAGAATATTTTATTAAATTTTAGAGATTTTATAATATTTTGCAAACTGGATATATTTAGCCATAATACCCCATTTTCCTATGTATGGTAACTTCAGAGGTGACTTTTGGGATGCTCTGTATTGACCTTCCATCATCAGGATAGATAGTATTAGTGAAAAAATAGGCAAATAGATGATGGAACAAAACAGAGAGCCAAGAAACAGACCCACACAAATATACGCAAGGAAATTCAACGAACTGTCTTTTCCAGAAGTAGTGCAAAAACAACTGGACAATGTGTACAAAAAAATAAATCCATACAGGCTGGGTGCAGTGGCTCATGCCTGTAATCCCAGCACTCTGAGAGGCCAAGGCTGGAGGATCCCTCAAGCTCAAGAGTTTGAGACCACCCTGAGCAAGAGTGAAACCCCATCTTTAATAAAAGCAGAAAGATTAGCTAGGTGTTGTGGCTGATGCCTATTGCTCCAGTTACTTGGGAGGCTGAGGCAGGAGGATCGCTTGAGCCCAGGAGTCTGAAGTAGCTGTGAGTTGAGCTGATGCCATGGCACTCTAGCCTAGGCAACAAAGTGAGACACTGTATGAATAATAAATAAATAAATAAATCCATGCACAGATTTTGTATCTTTCACAAAAAATATTAAAATGCATTAAAGACATAAATATGAAGTGTAAAACTTATAAAACTTCTAGAATAAAATATAGGAGCAAATCCAGGTGACTTTAGGTTTACTAATAATTTTTTTGATAAAACACCAAAAGCAAGATCCATGAAAGAAAAAAATTGCTAAGTTAGATTTCACTAAAAACTGCTATTTTGTGAAAGACATTGTTAAGAAAATTAAAAGACAAGCCATGTAACCAGGAGAAAATACCTATAAACACCTATCTGGTAAAGGACTTGTATCCAAAATCTACAAAGAATCATGGAGACTAAAAGACAGTGACACTTTTGAAGTGCTGAAAGAAAACTGTGAACCAAATGAAAGTTCTATAGGTAGGCCAAAAATAGTAGAGGGAATCCTAGAATGCTTGGAATGAAAAAATACAGAAAATGGTAAATATCTGTGATAAATAAACTGTTGTTCACTTTTTAGGTTTTTAAAAATATGATTGTGGAATGCAAAATTTGGTAAAATTTTTGATGTATGTAGATATAATTCACAATAACTACCATCATAAAGGAAGAGTGTTAAAAATATATATATAGTTCTAATGCTTCTATATTTTACTTGAAAAGAAAAAATAATAATTCTAAATAGTTTCTGTAAAGTTTCATGTATATATTATAAATTCTATTAGCAAGCACTAAAAAAATTACATGAATAGTTAAAATTATAGAAAATTTTAGAAGAATTCTGAATACTATTAAAAAATTAGTTCAAAAGAGGACAGGAAAGAGAAATCAGAGTAATGGAAAATAGAAGGAATACACAGAAAACTAAAAATAATTTGGTTTGATTATCCAGTCTCAGGATCTAAAGAAAAAAGACTGAAGAACCTACAATCCCATTACTAGGCATCCACCCAGAAGAAAAGAAATCATTTTATCATAATGACATTTGCTCTAGATGTTTATTGCAGCTCAATTTACAATTGCCAAAATGTGGAAACAACCTAAATGTTCACCAAGCCAAGAATGGATTAACAAACTGTGCTATATGTATACCGTGGAATACTATTCAGCCATTAAAAAGATGGGGACTTTGCATCTTTTATATTAACTTAGATGGAGTTGAAATACATTCTTCTTAGTAACAGTATCATAAAAATGGAGAAGGAAGAATCCAATGTACTCAATACTAATACAAAGCCAGTAGACAATCTAATATACACCCACATAAGAGAAAAACTCAAATCAATTCAAGGTGGGGGCAGGGGAACAAGGGAGCACAGAGAGAAGAGGGAGGGGGATGGGTGTGCTCCCACTTCAAGGGCACAATGGTAAGGTATATGGCACACCTCAATTATAAGAAGGACTCTACCTAACAAATGCAAATATTGTAACCTAATTCTTTATACCTTCAAATTAACCTGAAACAATAAAAATTTTTAAAACAACTTTTTAAAATTGACAACTAAACAAGCCTTCACAGACCTATGTGACACCATCAAGCATATCAATACTTGTTTTGATGGTGTCACATATGCTTAATTGGGGTCCGGGGGCAAAAAGAATTATCTGAATGTCTGAAAACATCCATTGGAGAAAAACAGTCTACACATTCAAGATGCTTTATGATCTCCAAGATAAACTTAAAATCATATGTACCCGCACACATCATAGTCAAACTGTAACAAAACAAATACTAAGAAATCCTCAAAATAGGAAGAGAAAAAATATCTTGTCACATACAAAGGATCTTCAACAAGATTATAGCAATCTTCTCTCATCAGACACTATAGAACCCAGAAAGCAGTGGGATAACACATTCAAAGTGCTAAAAGAAAGTCAATCAAGAATTTCTACAGATAGCAAAACTATCACCAAAAACTAAAAAGCAGGGTGGCGCCTGTGACTCAGTGGGTAGGACGCCAGCCCCATATACCAAGGATGATAGGTTTGAACCCGGCCCCGGTCAAACTGCAGCAACAACAACAATAACAACAACAAATAGTCAGTGTTGTGGTGGGCACCTGATCACATGAGCCAGCTACTCGGGAGGCTGAGGCAAAGAGAACAGCCTAAGCAAAGGAGCTGGAGGTTGCTGGGAGCTGTGACATCACAGTACTCTACAGAGGACGGTAAGGTGAGACTCTGTCTCAAAAAAATAAAAAGTAAATTAAGACATCTCAGTTAAGGAAAAACTGAAATAATTTATTGCCAGGAGAAAATCTAGGTGACCTTGGGTTTAGTAATGATTTTTTAGATCTGCTTTACAAGAAATACTAAAGGAGTTCACAGGATGAACTGAAAAGACATAGATTTACCGCAAATCCACACCAAGATATAAAGATAGTAATGATAGTAAGCAAACATAATTTTTGTTTTTAAGATGGTCTCACTCTATTGACCCAACTAGAATGCAGTGGCATCATCACAGCTGAATGCAACCTCAAACTCCTGGGCTCAAGCCATCCTGCTGCCTAAGTCTCCTTAGCAGCTGGGACTACAGGTGCCCATCACCATATTTGGTTAATTTTTTCTATTTTTAGTAGAGACAAGGTCTTGTTCTTGCCTACGCTGATCTTAAACCCTTGAGCTCAGGCAATCTTCCCCTGTCAGCCTCAGTGAGTGCTAGGATTACAGGTGTGAGCCACTGCACTGGCCAGAAAACATAATTTTTTTTGGTAATTCTTTCCTTCTCTTGTCATTTAAAAGACAACTATGTTAATGAGCTATAAGGTATTTTAGGGCCAAGACTAGGAGCTCATGTCTGTAATCCTAGTACTCTGGGAGGCTAACACAGGAGGATCACATGAGCTAAGGATTTTAGGACTAACCTAAGCAAAAGCAAGACCCCATTTCTACTAAAAATAGAAAACTTAGTTGGGCATTATATTATGTCAGGTACCTATAGTCCCAGTTAGTAGGGAGGCTGAAGCAAGATTGCTTGAACCCTAGAGTCTGAAGTTACCGTGACTACAGATGCCACAGCACTTAAGCCTGGGCAACAGAGTGAAACCATCTCCCCCCACCCCGCAAAAAAGCCAAAACTGAAATAATTTATTGCTAGGAGAAAAAGAACTGACAGCAAACAAACAGAAAGAGCAACCAAACTTTACTGTGAACAACATAATACATATTCTTCTCAAGTTCACAGGACAATTCTCTAGGATAGAACATACACCAAGTCCATACAACAATCTTTAATAAATTCAAAAGGATTCAAATCATACACAGTATCTTCAATGAAATGGATAACAGAAGGAAAATTCACAGTACATAGAAATTAAGCAGTACATTCTTAATTAGCCAATTGGTTAAAGCAAAAATCACAAAGAAAATTAGAACATAATTTGAGATGAACAAAAACGAAAACATACCAAAACTTACTGAATGCAGCTAGAGCTATGGGGGATACGTATAGCTAGAAGTGTTCATATTTAAAAAGATTACAGGCTCAGCGCCTGTGGCTCAAGTGGCTAAGGTGCCAGCCACATACACCTAAGGTGGCGGGTTCGAATCCAGTCCGGACACACCAAACAACAATGATGGCTGCAACCAAAAAATGGCCAGGCGTTGTGGCGGGCGCCTGTGGTCCCAGCTACTTGGGAGGCTAAGGCAGGAGACTCGCTTGAGCCCAGGAGTTGGAGGTTGCTGTGATCTGTGATGCCACAGCACTCTACCCAGGGGAACAGCTTGAGGCTCTGTCTCAAAAATAAATAAATAAATAAATAAAAAGATTACAAATCAATAATCTTCTATCTTAAGATGCTAGAAAATAAAGAACAGATTTAACTCAAAAAGCAGAGGATAGAAATAAAAGACTAGAGCAGAAATAGAGGATCAAAAAAATCAATGGAAACAGAACCGAGAGATTGACAAAGTATAAGAGGCAAAAACTGACAGACAAATCCACAATTTTGCTTGATGGCCTATCTCTCAGTAAGCGACAGATCTGAGAAGGAAAAAGAGTTAGCAGGGATATATATTAGATATGAATAACATATCGACCAATTTGACCTATTTATAAAATGCTACTCGTGTAAAAACAGCAAACTACTCATTCTTCTTAGAGCACATGAAACATTAACTAAGACAGACTTCACCAAATTTATAAGAATTGAACTTATTCAAAATCTTTTCATTGACTGTAACAGAATTAAACCAGAAATCATTAACAGAATTATAGGTGGAAAATTACCAACTATTTGGAAATGGCATATTACTATCAAACGCATCCATCAAAAAGAATGTCTCAAAGAAAACAGGAAAATATTCTGAATTGAATGAGAGAGAAAATACGATATATTTAAACTTTGGAGAATCCACTTAAACAGTATTTAAAGGGAAGTTTCCAATATTAAACACTTATATTAGAAATGAAAAATAGTCTTAAATCTGCAATTTAAGCTTCCACTTTAAAAAAACTAGAAAAAAAGCAAAACAAACCCAAGGAAAGAAGGAAATAGTAAAAGACAGAAGTCAATTATGATGGATACAGGAAAAATGGATTTAAAAAAGAAAATGAAGCTAAAATCTGTTTCTACTGAAAAAGAGAATCAATGAAATTGAACCTCTAACCAGGTCAACCAAAAGTATCAGGAAGAAAAGATGGAATATTTTTTCATTCCTGAAGCACAGACTTTTTTTTTTTTTTTTTTTTTTTTTGAGACAAAGCCTCAAGCTGTCCCCCTGGGTAGAGTGCTGTGGCATCACAGCTCACAGCAACCTCCAACTCCTGGGCTCAAGCCAGTCTCCTGTCT